CTGATTAAAAACAAGAAGAAGACTAGAGTCTGACCTAAGAGACTAAGATTATTTCTACCTTAGTCTGAAACAGATTATCTTCAATTCCATACACATAACCTTTCCGTTTCTCTTGCAATACAATAGCTCAGATGCAGTTCTTAGGTCCTTTTCTGCTTTGATCATGAAACTAATGGGAGAAAATATATGTGCACACACACTTATGTGCATATAGCGTCTGGGCATACCAGCTTATGTTGATTATCTATCTAGAACAAATATAATGTTCTTCCTATAATCAAGCTTCATATAACAATATAGAGATCTCAGGCTAGACCTGGGCCATACTGTTTTGTTTGTGGTTTGTTTTCTACAGTGTCCCTCCATCAAGCAAGAAAATGACACCATGCATTGCTATTTTATGCTAAAATGAGATGGGAACTGAGCTGGAATTTGAAGGAAGGTGGAGGACTCACTTTGCTGCTGGCTTGTAGCTGAGTACGTTAAGGCAGGCTTTAAGATGAATTGCCCCTGTGCATCCAAGTATATGTCGTTCACAAGCAGCCCAGGCAAGGCTGGAAAAGCAGGGAGCATTCTTGAGTTCGATTTACTGAAGGCATTTTGAAGGTTGGTCAGTATAATATCATGTGGACACTCGTGGCCTATAAGAAGAAAATAAGAATATGAATTGAATCTAGTAACAATGAGTGTGAGAAACCTTCCAATGGGATTTAGCATGCACTGCTGTGTTTTGTGTCTCACTCTTCTTCTGGACAATGTAGACTGTACACCCTAAGCATTAGGAGACTTACAGAGATATTATGATAAAGGAAGGATGTGTAAGCTGAGAACTCTAAAATCAAGGAGATGATTTTCAGTTGATCACTCTATATCTACCAGAGCACTTTGTTTGGCAGATTTTGCTGTGTTCTACTCTGACAGAATCAAGACCTGCCTGTTATAGTCTTGATATCAATAAGACTTTTACATCACAAGAAATTTAGTTTACTTGTCTAGCTTTATATTAATCAATTTAAATAATTCCCACCGCATGCATATATATATTTGTCTTCCTATGGTTTGGAGCCTGGAACTCTATAAGTAATTCTATTAGCCATGTCAAGCACTTCTCTGTCCAGTATTTATTTCTCTCATGATGACAGCCACATTTATGTAGTCCATTTCCATTCACATTATGAGGACAGGGTTTCTTGGAGTCAGTGAAGTGGAATAGCCTCTGCTTCCTCCCATTGCTGTTCTCCTAGACAATGGTCTCGTTGATGCTTTATGCTCTAGAAAACACATGATTCCTTCTGGACACACAACAGTTTCTTAGTACTCTGATTGGAGACATGGATCTGGAAGAATGTGGCCTAATAATGAGACAGGATGAATTTGTATGCAATAGACACCTTTTGTCATCACATCAGATAATTTATGATCTGAAGGTTAATGAGAGTCACCAGAGGAATGTGTACAATTACAATGCTGGATAGACAAATCGTATTTCTCCATAGAGCCAAATGAACATTAACAGATGAAGTAAACTCTCTCCTATCTGCTACATCTTGGGAGGGCATGAAAGCACATTTAAAGAACCATTCAGTGTCTTTAAGAAAACTGCAATTCAAGACATTTTTCTTTTGCGTGTGTTTGAAGATTTCTCACAAGCAGTAAGAATAATTTCTTTCACACAACACCACTTTTAGACTGCTCCAACAAACAGTAACTCTGGGCCAGAACTACAAATACAAAATTAGAATTAAATCGATGTTCTTAATGTGCTCTCCCCTGTTTTAAGTTATTTCTTCTCTAACGAAATGTCAGAGAGTATGTGCTGTGTGATAGATATGCTTTTCTAGGAAGTATGAAACCTTGGCTTTGTCCATTTCTGATGAATCACCAATATGACTAAAGTCTTGGTTTGCCTTTGTTTCTGACACAGATAGAATGTTAGTGCTACAGTGAGAGCAAGATTTAAAGCAATAGTGAGATGAAAGGACTCCAGATCCTTCCTAGTGATCAATAGGAAAAAATATAGACATGAGGGATTCATACTAACATATGGCCTGCGGGTTGAAATACACATTTAAAATCATGCTGAGAAACTAAGAAGAGCTTTAAGTTCTTAAGATTTCTGAAGCATCCATGATGAACACAGCTCTTCCAAACCTTAAAATATTATCTATTTGACACATTTCACTACATAAATTTATTTTAAAATGTCCACATTTATCTTTCCACGGACTGAGTATTGCTATTGTTTCCACCTTTTAAAAAGTGAAAAGACCAGATGATTTGGCACATTCCTGTATTTTCAGCACTCCTTTGATTGAAATAGTAAGAGTTGAAAGTTCCTTACTTGCTTGGACTCAATAGCAATACTCTGTTGCATGAAGGAAAATAAAGTCCAATGAGTGGGTTGAGGGTCTAGCTTATTAAAACCCTGAAAATAAATATTGAGGACAACCAAGAGTATATCCGTTTTGGATTTCTACAAATGATCAAGAATATCCCCACAGATTCTTTTCATGATACATGAGAATATTTTGAATAACAATATTCTCTCATCTCCAAAAGACATTGTTACTGTCACTTGTCTGAAGGTCACCTTATGTATTAGAACTTCATGTTTCCATTAGCTTTTAAAAGATCAACTTTGCAAGCACTCTTGATGATCTCACAATTTTAAATCTTGTCCAAATGCTTCTGATCATTTTTCTACTATTATTTGTTTGGCAATAATTTAGCTAGGGAGAAATTAAAAAAAAAAACGCAATAGAAGGTATGGCAGGTGATTCAGTGAGGAAGTCTCCAATAATCTGATAATGAGCTCTCATTCAGTGGGGGAATTACTGGTCAAAGGAAGATGTGAACTGAATATTTCACATGGACTCGGAGATATGTATACATTTAAAATTTTCATTATGAAACAGAATCTACATAGTTTGGAATGAACTGAATATTTTTTAAAGTTTCCATATTTCTTACTGCTTATGAAAAACCTTAACACATACACAAAAGAAAAAAGGCTTGTGACTGAAGTTTCCTTAAAGACAGTGAATTGTTCTTTGAACTTGTTTTCATTTTAATTTTAGACTTGTTTCTGGTTGTAACTGTTTGGCTCCGATGTATATCTTTGTACCATTCTGAGCCTGGTACCTGAGCAGGTCAGACCAGGGAATTTGATCTCCTGAAACTGGTGTTATGAAAGGTTATTAGCGATCATGTGGGTGTTGGGAATCACTGAAAAATTTCTTCTGCTAGTAGAATTTTCTGTAATGATTACCAAATGATGTTTTTCCCAGTTACTTTCTTCAGAAACAATATATCCAGAGATTGTTTTTTCTCTCTTTAGGAAAATTATGTTTCTCAAATAGAAAACTCAGAATTTCAGCTATTTCTTTTTTTGTTAGACCTATGACTCTTTCATAATGACATGTTATCCTGTGCTGGAAGGCTGTATTAAAATTATTAATTATGAGTATAATAAATGAAAAACTTTATTTTGTTTAGTGTGTACTTATATCTAAGACTAAATAATGAAAACATTGAGACTTCAGGCTTAGTTTACTGAACTCAGCTGGTCCTTCCTTAGATTTTCCTGTTACTTACCTTGGAGTATTCTTGGAGCTTCCCCTTGGCCAGGACAGAACCACAGTTGGTAGTCTTCAATGTACTGGGAGCCAAAAAGAACCAACCATCACAAATAATCTGACAAGAGAATCCTGAAGAATCTAGTGGTTTCTTTTCTTACAATTTCGAGCTCTCTAGCAGGGAAATTATTAGGACCAGTATTAATGGCATGTGTTCTGACCACAGGTTTGAGTCGTCAGGACTAATTTCAGAGGAAAACTCTTCGGTACTTGCCTTTTCACTCTGAGGAAACCTATTGCCCAGTAGAATAAGAAACTGCGCTCTGCCACCAACAGTAACTAAGACAATATTATTATAAAATTACTCACATAGGTCTCTCCAGTCTGTCAGTGGAATATTGAAGGATGATTTGGCTTGAGCACACAACCTAGTACCCGCAGAGTTATATACTCCCAGTGATTATGATGACTTGATAAAGAACATTTGAAAGCTATGGTTGCTTCAGCAACATGAGAAAAATAGACAAAAACAGAGAAGCTTTGAAGGTGTCTAGGAGTACACACAACCTTTGGCTTTCATTCAGAGAGAGCCAGTCTATGGAAAGGTCGAAGGTGTCTCTAAAATGGAAAATAGGCCAGATACTGGAAGGAAGCTCCACAACACAATTATTGCACACCAAGTAATGATTCCATTCGAAACAGTCATATAAATAGTACATTCTGTTGAAATAGTTGGAAGCTGCTGACCCCTGTGGTTGAATTAGGGATAGGCTGAAAGAAGTTGAGGAGGAGAAGGATGACCCTGTAGGAAGACCAGCAGTCTCACTCAATCTGGATCCCTGAGATCTCTCAAACACTGGACCACTGAAATGCTGCATAGACCAGCAGATATGAGGCCCCAACACATGTACAGCAGATGACTGCCAGGTCTGTGTTCAATCAGTGATGATGCACTTAACCCTCAAGAGACTGGATGCCATAGTGTGTTTTGAGGTCAGGTGGTGTGGAGGACGAGGGGTGGGGACAGCCTCATGGAGACGGGGCGGGGGGGTCAGGAAGAGGTATGGGATGTTAAACAGTCTGAAGGTGGACGGGGACTGGGCGGTCAATGAAATATGGAGTGTAAAAAACTAAATAATAAATTAAAAGAAAGAAATGGTTAGCAACCTCCAGAAGTGACTACAATGCTAATATGCTCCAATTGGTGTTATCATTAATTGTACTCTCTTGTTGATTCAGGATTAAAACAATCAAAGAATTGTCCCATAGAGTTCTTAAGTATTACACTAGAGGATAAAAGTCCACTCAAGCAGACACTCATACCTACACCCACCAAAACACACAAGGAGAGGAAATAGTGAGTCAGAGAAAGAGTGATAGATACACAGAAACAGAACGACACTCATACAAACTCACAGGAAGTGATAGACAGCAACATACACACATTCATTAAACAGAGAGAGAGAGAGAGAGAGACAGAGAGAGACAGAGAGAGAGACAGAGAGTGGAAAATAGAGGTATACATCATGCACATTTAAAACAGAAAGACCAAATATACAGACATGTATGCAGAGAGAAAGAACATAGACAAAACCTCTATTATAGATTTAAAAATAACACCACACTAGAACATGCACACTTACACCTTGATGCACAGAGAAATGAAAACAACAAGGAATGGGAGAGGAGAGGATTTATATACCATAAAGGAATTCAATAAAATTTTAATGAAGAGAAAGTAAGAAAGAAAAAAAGATAAGAAAGAGAAAAATCTTGTTGTCTCTAAGATTGGCATCCTTTAAATTATCGTGTGTGCATATGACCAATTAATCTCACTTTGTTAGGATGCAGCTTTAGTGTCTCGTGATAGAAAAAGTATAGCTCAATACCCTTGGGCTATGAGTTTAATTTCTATGGAATCGTATACAAGAAATTCAAGAAAAATTCCCTGTAAAAATTATTATTATGTCTTAGATGCCATCAGTTCCAAAGGGAAAAGATTGTAAGATATGATTTATAAACTTAACATGATTAAGTTTTATATGTATTATTTATTTGCATACACACTTGCACACATATGGACCTCAAAAACAAAATTCAACTGTAACTCAAAGTAACATGGAAAGAACTTACAGGCACTCTAATCATTGGTAGCAACTTCTTCATTATATCATTCACCGTATCGATGGTTGTTGCTGATACACTTAATGGCTATGAAAAGTACAGAGAAGAGTGGTATAAAATAACTTTGAACCTCATGATTACAAAATTAGTGTCTAATCATTACTATAATCTACAGTCTGTAATGGCAACTCTAATACAGGATAAACAATGTGTTTTCTTTCCTTGAGTTAAATCTGGAAGATTGTCAGTCTACCATATTTATCACAAAATTAACTATGTGGGTACTTGGAACACAAACATAACTGTAACAGGTTGTGTATAATAAAGGATTACTAAGTAGCCATGGGTGCAAGAGCATAGAATCCTGTTTTTTCTTGAATTATGGCAGTGGAAAGTAGGGAGGGTGAACAAACCCCTTTGCTTCCTCCCTATCCAGACTTCCATCATTTTACACCCCTTCATTCATACACAGCATGTGCTCAGTTCTAGGAAAATCAGGATAAATAGCAGCTGCACTTACAAAACCAAACAAAAGACAAAAACAAACAAAAATAAAAGAAAATTAAAAAACAAAACAAACAAAAGACGAGTGAGTACTCTCTTCATATCATGCTTTGTATACAGTTAGATGATATACAGATATACAGCACTGAAATAAGTAATGGTGATAGAAATAGTAACCCAAAATAAATATTTTATAATTACTCCATCACTTAATACTGCCAAGAACAAGCAAGGTGCTTGTATTATTAGCTCTCTACTGCCTCTCACATTTAAAAAATGCTCCAGAGACCTAGGAAGACAGCAAGAAGAAAAGAGCATGAAATCAAATGATACAAATCTGAGAGGATATCACTGATATACTGGAATTCTAATGCAGTACCAAAGTATATGACAGTGAGTAGATAGGCATATCTTTATGAAGATAGTTTCTACA